CCTTGTTTCTGGGGAGCTGGGTGAGAAGGGTTGTGATCAATGCTCCCTCTAAGCTCTGGAGTCTTGTGAGCAAAATTCTGCCTTGTGAGCTACTGTCATTAAAGTTGTGAGCGAGCGATTGGGCTACTGCATAAATTACTTTGCTCTGGAGCCATCCTTCCTGAGCTAAGACAAAAGTGTGTGAGCCAGAGGCTAAAAAAACTGAGCTAGCTCACACCAACTCAGCTTAGAGGGAACACTGGTTGTGATTCATATTCAGCTTTGCTCTTGACATCCTTGCAGTTTCTTAGATACGCACCCCATTCTTATTGCATCCTAATTCTATCCCCAGAGACCTCTAATAATGCTTTTCCTTAACATATATATAACTTTGTATACAAAATGTACAGTAATAAAATATATTCTACTATAAGCTTCTGTAATCAAAAGATTCTAGGTTACATACCAAGTTCTGGATCTATTATAATTAAACTTTTGAAGGCACAGTGACAGCTGTCAATATGTAAACATGTCAGAGGAAATGTCAGACCTCACATTCAGAAATCACATTCATTTTTCCCTTGTCCTACACTTGCTGTACTAACAGATTCCAAAGCAAGTTCTAACCAATGTAAAGATAGTCTCCTTTCACACCACATTAATGGGCCAAAAATACACCTTGCTGGAGCTCTTAGCATCCATACCATTCCCACGAAACAGAGTATTTCCATTTCTGTTGGGAACCACCTTTGTGGAGTTGGTTCCAAAACATGTTGATTAGAGGGAGGGGAAAATGTTCTTAATGTTTTCCCATTCCCAAAATTTAAAAGTTCATAATTTGTGTGTTTTGGAAGAAGGGAACAAGAAATCTGGAACTATTATTTTTGCACAAGTTTAGGTATAGTGATTTTATTCTTACCTTCAGTGTATCAAATATAACCTTCTCTTACTGTATCATCCATGTGAAGTTAACTAGATGAAGAAATTATGCCCACAGTCACCCAGTGGATGGTCACATTTGAACCCTATTCAACTTGGCTGAAGTCCAAGACTGGTCACTACCTTATGCTGGTCAGAAACCATTGCAGGATAGGCTATTGCAGAAATGAGGATAAGCAGTAGCAATGGAGGAGGAACGGCATACATCAAAGCCTAATGGGGACACAGGGGTAACCCCTGAGGTGGGAACTGGAGTGTGCCACACACCCTCAAGAATCTGCTTTCAGCTGTGAAACAATGGCGAATAGTGCTCTGGTATTTCTTAAACACGAGGGAAGGGACTGCTACCTTTTCCAAAAGTAGCTCGCAGGAAGGAATAAAAACGTCCCGATTTCAATAGCTGTGCTGCATAACTAAAGAGACGAAAGCGTGCCAGCACTCAGCTCGCCTTGCACAATTACCAGAGGCATCTCAAAAGAAGGCAAATGTCTTCACAGATACCGACGGAAAGGCGCTCACCTGAAGTTTGACAGCTCTCTCACGGTCACAGTAACCTCTCACCAGCAAAGGGACAGGCGAGCTTGACCAGCGGGACCGCAATAGTCCTCATCCAAAATGCAGACGAATGGTAAGAGTTGGGATTCTTTTTAGGGCATCAGAGCAACTTCCTGCTTTCCTTTTCTCTTAAAGGTACATTGTCCTATTTTCTGATTTCCCATGCTCCGTCAGAGGACAACGCCAGCAAACGTTCAACCAGGATCCTCTTCAGCTCTGGCTTCCCTCGTTAATAGTTTTATTGATGATTTTTATGTAACGTAAGAAGTGAAATCTAAAAACATAAAACCCAATTGCCCAGCGATTAGGTTCCCTTTATTGTGTGGGGCTACCCTGTGACACCCCCCCCCGCACCTGGGTGGAGCCCAGAGGCGGAGCGAAGCTAAGGAGGGAAGGACCCTGTGCGAATGCTTTCAATTCCTCGTCCTGTCGCATACTCATCTCTTGCCTTGAAGCAGCGCTATCCGCCATCCACACCGTCATCGCAACACAGTCCAGACTACAATTATGCCACAGTCAGAAAGCAGGAAATAATTTGCCCATGAAGAGCAGATGCAAATTACAGATCGATTACAAAATTGTTTTATTTTTTATTTATTATTTCAATTTGTATCCCGCCTTGCTGGCGAACTGGCTGAAGGAAGCGTACAGACATTAAAATGCAATAAATAAATAAATACAATAAAATACACAGAAACAGCCTACATACCATCATAAAGTGCTACAAGGACAATATAGATGATGGTGGCATTCAGTATATGATACCATAGTGGAAAGCAGTATCCAACCGTGTAACACAGGGCCATGAGATGTTCCGGTGGCTC